TTTTCTTCCCATTTTTTAAAACATTGTTTTTCAATCATTTGCATTATATTTGCCTCAAAGATAATTAATGTTGCCAAAGCAATTCAAACAAAAAATAGAACAGAACAGAATAGAATACATAATTGTTATATAGAAAAATAATACAGAAATATTTTTAGCACATGGACAAAAACCAGATGTAGGTGAAGTATTATATACTAATTTTCAGGAATGTGTCTTTGGATATCATAAACAGTAAGAGGAGGGGGGAAGGAAAGGAAGGGGAGGAAGGGGAGAAAGGAAGTTTAAAACATATATCCATTCTAGCTAAATTCTAGGGAAAGGAAAGGAAAGGAAGGGGAGGAAGGGGAGAAAGGAAGTTTAAAACATATATCCATTCTAGCTAAATTCTAGGTAAATTTTGAGCCAGAATGGACAAAAATGATCGAAGAGGGCCAAACAATTTTATGAGGTATATATGGCAATAACCCTCAAATTCATAGACTGTTCCACATTTTGTTTTATTTTAGTATAGAACTTTATAAGGTCACATAGTCCTAGAAAGACTGGGTGGTGCACTGTATAGAAAGAACAACCATCACATGCAATTAGTTGCAAAATAACATTAGTATTCTACCTTTCATTTTGGCTGGCAAGGAAATAAATAGTTGCTAAGCTTGGAATGGATGAAAATTGATGCTTCAGGCATTACTACTGCAAAGCATCTTGAAATTTCAACTGGATATATATATATAAAACATTTGCTCGAAACATTCAGCTTTTTGGCACTCTACAGAATCAAATTGTGATTGTTATCAGTTTGTCCAGCAGAGGTTTCAATTGAATTTTGCACTTTAGCTGTAAGACTGTTACCAGAATAGCTGAAGTCTCTAGGCCAGGCCTCTTCTTTCTTCCCCTCCTACTCTTAAGTTAGCACTGGGAGTCCTCATCTCTTTCTCAGCCAATTCTTCTCCACTCCAGTTGGACTGAAGCACAGCTCTGGCTGGGAAGAATGGCAGCTTTGGTTGAAAGCACACAGAACATCTGGTTGTGAATGGCAAACATTGACTTTGAGCAGCAGAAGGGCTGTATTTCTATACAGTAGCCAGGAAGTTCTCTTGGTCTGGTCTTCAGCTTTTCTATAACCCTATTTCTGGAGTTCTGCCTTGGAGCTGACTCTGCAGAAATGGCCCGGGTGCTTGTTTCAGTACAGATAAACACCTTCTGGAGCCTGCTCTTTATACACCAAGGCGGTCTGCGTGCTCATGCAATGGCAAATGTGTGAAATTGCAACACTTTATATCCTGAACTCTGCTTTACTTCTTATCAAAACAGATACTTGGAGGTCAATCAATTTACAGAGTGACTCATGCTAAAAACTGGTTCTCGACTCAGCTCATTAAACTTTGCTGAGACTTGTTTGATCAGAAATTATAAGACTTGGAGGCTCTGGAAGTTCACCTTTGATGTGCTGAATTATTATAAATGATTTTGGGGACCACCATTTTTGTTTCAGGGAGCCACCGCTGCATTGCACGTTATATTTTGTTTACATAATTTGTTAACATATATGTGTTTCAAAATAGTACCAGTGTATTACAACAAAGTCATTATACATGATACATTTTTTTTCACTCTCTGTGTTCTATCTGCAAATGGGACAGGACCAGGAGTTAATGTATGTGTAGATATGAGGGGGTTGAAGCCAAAAAAGAGAAGAGAGGATAAGGAAAAGCAAGTGTATGCTCAGATAAGTTTGGACAGAGGTGTCAGACAGCTGCTGTGGCTTGCCCTGGGTTTTCAGAAGGGAACTAAGAAGATTTGCAAATAGGGAAGAATAAAGTGACATTTGTTTTTTCCAGATGGATTGAAAGTATCTTTGCGGCTTCTTCTGACCCGAACCTTAAGTAGATCCTTTACTGAATAAAGAATCACATCCACTATGAATCTTATTTGATTATGATGACTGGGGGAAAGGGGGGGGAGTCGATTCAAATTTTGCTTCCTGGAAACTCAGCCAGCCTGCAATATAGTTTTTCCTACATGTCTTGCCCTAACTGGAATTCTAATGCCATTCAGTGCAGTGGAGAATATTTGCCCCTCAATCAATTTGTTGCTTTTACCCCTTGCACCCCACTTTAAAAAAAAATGTAAATCCTTCAATCCTTTAACCCTGTTAAAATGTAATCCTTCAATCCTTACCAATATTTGGCAGCTATTTGGCTTTCCCACAGGGTCTTATATATTTTTATTTGGTTATTCATTTCTGCATTCTAGGCAGTTGACAGAATTAGGATTAAAACTTCTGTTAAAACTAACAAAATACCATCATTCTAAATCTAGAAACTTATGGGGGAAAATAATGATTGTTATTGCAAAAGACTGTTAAAGTGTTATTCTTAAAGTTAAAGAGGGCCTAATACAGACCCTTTCTGGGACTGTTCAGGTCAAAGATTTGCT